AATTTCATAAATGTGTCATTCCAGGCATTTCCTAGCTAAGAAGTTTTCAGAAATGAGCGCTTTTCATTTACACTTAACAAACGTCAGAAAATGTTCCTCCATTATTCCTTTTAAGGCAGTCATTAAACATCTTCCAATGCTGTGCTCTCTGCTTTATGGTTATTTTGCGAGTTACTACCACCATGTTTTGCAAAGTTAATAGCAGTGCAGCTCAATGAGATAAACAGTAAAATTATCTGTCTTTAATTTTTTTCGAATAGAAAAACTTTTTTTCAAAAGAGGAAGCTGCAAAGTGTCAGTTTTCTGAAAACCATCTTTTTTCGCTCAAATCACACACAACCTAAAGTAAAAAATTTTCTTAACAGTGCTATGGCTTTATATTTCTTTACAGTGACTTTTAAAGTTGTGAGTATTTTCTTTCAAGCTTGACAAAACGAAAAAAAAAGTTACTTGTTAAAAAAATTTAGGGCTATCCGATACTGCCTTCGTCTTTGTTGCTCCGAAATTAACTGCGTACGTCCACTATCAGTACTAAAAAATAGGAAAATTTAAAAGAATCATGCAAAATAAGCAGCTAAAAATAGGTCTAAAAAAACGGCTAAAAACGTTTGCAAAATATTTTCTCATAAAAACTGGTCAATAGAAGTATTAACGAATTAGATGAATTCTGTTGCGAGCGACAATCAAGACGAGGCAGCGAGTTGGTGTGACAGGATCGAGAAGATGATAATAATGAACGAGGAACCCATACATTACGAGATGGTTGAGGAATATCAGTGACGAGTCTGTAAGAAATCGTTCTTGAGGAAAATGAAATTATCACAAATATTTTAAAGTTACACCTAAAGTTAGGTTCCAGTTTTAATTTAAGCCATAGATTTACCAAACTAGTTATTAGATGATTCGACAATATTCCAGAATTTAAAAGACATTGCTGACAAAACACAAATACCTTCGATGCAAAAGCCTAGGAGACATCAATTCTAAAGGCATCCGACGTGACGCTTCTTGAGCAACAAACCAGGCTGAACTTGGCTCTGGAGTTTGATTTTGGAGGAGGCACCTTTCTTGCGATCGACTTGCATGCAGCTGTGCCGATAAACTAATTGCTGGATGATACCTACAGAGAACAAATTTAGTACAACCTATTGACTAAATACACCAAAAATAATTAGGTAGATGACTTTAAAACATCCAATATAAAAAGAGAATTACACACAAAAAATAACAACAATGGAAGAATATACCTCGTAAATCTGGCATTCTGGTGTGGTGGACTAATCAAGCAGTATTGTTGTCGGCTACGACGATTTAGTTCGCTTGAAGACTGTAAACATCGCTCGCTACACAGCGACATGCCTCGTTCCGGATGTTCGCATCTTTGCCAATGCGGATTCTGAACGTAGCGTACCCTGTAAGTTTCCGGTGTCTGTATCGGTACTACCAAACGACGCCACTGTTGCTGTAACCGGTACTGTCGAAAAGCTCGCTGTATCCGAGTAGCAGCTGCATGAGCGCGAAGCCTTCCTCCATATCTCCGTTCCAAAACCTTAAAGGAATTTTTTAAAATGAATCTGTCTAAAATGATACTGTCTTAATAAAGAATAAAGTTATTGGTAATGAAAAAATTGAAGTATGAAAAAAATGATAAACCTTCTGTCGCCTAGTGAATTAGGAATAAGAGTCAAAGGAAGCTGTAAAAACAAGATTTCTCTCATTCTGCGCTTATTGAGATTTTGAGTAGAAATAAAAACATGATACATAAAAGTTTTTTGATTACATGAAAAATTTAGTAGTAAGGAATAAACAATTAACATGAAGAGAGGATTTATTCTTTTGAAAATTCCCAGACATGCTATTATAAGCTCAATAAATGAATAGAAAACCTAAAATAGAAACTTCAAAAAGATAAGCAGAGCAAAGCAGAAAAAAAAATGACTATAAATATTAGGAGATAATTTATACTTATCTGAATATAGTAACAAACAACTAGAAGGCACATAAGAATTGAATGTTTGACAAAATTCAACTCTTCAGTTCGCTTAGTGGACACCATTCAGAACCAAAAGTTACTGCGCTAGCGATAATTATACGGTGTTATGCAGCTCATGCATATGAGAACATAAATTTCACATGAATCCCGGGAGTTTAGTGAGCCTACTGTAAAATTTAGAAACAAAAAACAAACCTGTATCTGTCGCCGACTGAGATCATCAGAAATTTCATAGGCATTGAGGTTGGAGTTCGAGCTTGTCGCTGTAGCCAGACGCCACTCGGAAATCATTCGTTTCTGGAGAGTGCCCCCCGTAGGTCGACTCCCTTCTCAACAACTTCACGCTTTAACAATAATAAGCATAAATAATTAAAGTTTTCAGATTTCAAGATTAGACGTCATTTTTTACGGTTATTTATATGCAGAAATATATATGAAAGAAAAAACACATTAAAATCTAATAAAAACTTCGTAGAAATAACCGTTTAGTTAAGCAGTAAATGTGCTATCAATCTCAGCAGTGTTGTTGAGCTACTGAAACATCACAAATTAGACCTAGCTAATATCATTCAAGAACATAAATTTACAACATTAAAAACAGGCATTTCATTACAATAGTAAATAGATTTCATATAACAATAGGCAATATGAATATTAATACGCTATAATCTATTAACCTCTCAAAAAAAAAATGTTTCCATTGTAAAAAACCGTCAATATAATACTACCAGGTTAATAGAATCAGTTATATAATAGATGTCGACAACTTTAAATGAAATTTAAAACAATGCCTCCATCAGTCTTCAAAAACAAAGAAAGAAAAAAAAAAACAATTACCAATGACAAACATTAATGAATACTCTTCAGAATTTATCACATGCTTAGATGGGAATAATTCGACAACTTCCATCTGTTGTCCACTTTCACTAACACTGTGCTTACACTAATAACAAACTAACACTCCTTAACTGTACATCCATTCCTCTTCAGACAACAATTACTAATTTGTTATCATTAATTTAAACATTTCAAAATATTTTAAAGGCAAACAAAAAGCAATTTGACTCAAACCTGAAATTTTTTCAATTAATCAAATAGAAAAAAACTATTAAAAAAAGAAGAAAAAAGATAGTATATTAAATGCAAATAAAAATTTGAACATCCCTTTTTTTTCTCCATCATGACTTCATCACCACTCAGTCTCGAAAAAAAAACAACAACAACAACAAAAGAAGAAAGAAAGAACAAAACAAAACAAACAAAAAGAATTTTAACAGAAAAAAGAAAATTTTTTTCCCCATATAATTTAAAAGTCTTTAAAAACAAAAAACCAACATAAAATTGCATCAACTAAACTGTACAAAAAGTAGAAACTGAAAAACAGGAAGTAAAATTTAAATACAACAAAATGCTACAGCTGCCGTTGTTGTTGAAACTGTGACTATAACTGTAAAAAAAAAAAAAAAAAAAAAAAAAAAAAA